TGTAGAATTTTAAATAATTATTTTGATTTTTAATTAATTTTAAATGACAAATTATTACTTAAAACAAATTTACAACTTAAATTATTTAATAAAACGAAATTCCCAATATTGATTAATTTCAATTTGGTCCCCTGGATTTATACAAAATTTTCTCATCACCGGTCGGATAGAAAGACTTGTATCCGCCCGGCTATGCACCGCCCTTCCCTAACTTAGGGTTAGGGTTTTACCCTAATTAAGGTTTCCCCCAATTAGGGTTTTAGGGTTTTGCGCGTTACCGCACGCCACCACGTACAACTTCTCGAGGCATAAAATTTTTCGTCCGTTTGTAGTCAGTTAAAAGCCGGGTTCCCTCGGATCACTTTTGCCGCAGACTTCTGTTTCCGTTTTATTTTTATAAAAATACAAAGAAAATCACTATTTCCTTTTAATTTTCCCCTCTTTTCTTGTCTGTTGGCTGTCACTACTCGTCCAAACGGAGTCCGTTTTCCCCGACTAAGGTCTCAAAATGTCGGGAAAAATACAAGGACCAACTTTGGTCCGCTCGGGCGGGTTTTACCTAATTTCGCTCCGTTTCTTCGTAATTAAAATAAAAGGAAATTCATGATTTTCGGAATTTTAATTAGAAAAATACAAAAAATTCCATATCTCCTTTTCTAGCCGTTAGAATTTCTCCTTACGAGGTCCTCAGCGACCGTTCGCTGAAGCCAAGGGCTACGGCGCCTGTCACTCGCCGCGCCCGCTTCCGAGGTCCTCAGCGACCAGCAGGCATCGAAGTCGGCCCCGTCACGCTCCCTATTTTCTTTTTTTCTTCCTTTTTGTAATTTAGCAGCTTCGCTCAGCAAGGTGTTCCAACAGTCAATTGGTATCGCTCACCAGTACGTTTCTGCAATCAATTAATAATTCAGCCAATTCACGCACCAGGGGGTTTCAACAGTCAACCGGTGTCACACAGCAATGCGTTTCAACAGTCAATAGCCACCCCACGCAATGGTGAGTTTTTAGCAGTCAGCTGGGAACAGCAACTAGGCCACCACAGTAAGTTTCACAATCAATTTTGGATGTGCCACCCCACTTTCTCTTTCTCCCCCTTTTGCTGTTCTCCCTCCCTTACTCATGCTGTTCTCTCTCCCTCAGTCTCGCTGCTCTCTCTCTCCCACTCTCGCTGTTCTCTCTCTCACTCTTTCGCTGTTCCCTCTCTCTTAGTCTCTCTCTCTCTCTCTGTACTCACGTTCTTTGTACTTCCTCTTCCCTCTCTCTCTACTCCCGCTCTCTGGGTTCACAGTCCCAATCCCGTCTCCGCATGCATGCTCTCCCGTTATCCCGTCACACCTGCCCACCGATAACGTCCCTGGCCGTACTGAATCGACAGTCCCTCCTCTCGGGGGAAACTCCGATCGAGCAGCAGACTACCAATCACAAGCCAGAGGGCCKTCCCAAGGTAAACAAGCCCCCCTTTTCGGGGGAMAAGCTGTTGGGGTGTCGGCTTATTATAGTTACCGAACACGGTCTTTCCACTCGAACGGGCCAATTAAGTGGTGACTTTTACTTTCACTGACCTCAAGGTATTTCGGGAGCTGGCAATTCAATCTGACGCCCTTTTTATGGGAAAGTCGACAATAATTTAAACGATCACCCCCTTTTTTTTTTTGTATTAGCATACCAAGTCCGAGTGTTCCTGAAGATCGTTTTGATCGTCGTTCACCCTTGAAAGCAAAGGACTCGTAATCTGGAGAGTCTCTCTCAGAAATAATTTAATTAACAAAGAGTTTTCTGTCCAGTCAGCCGACACAAGAGTTCCAGTGGACTGCCCATGGTTGATTGTTGATCATCAGAAAGGGGTCAGCATATGCATAGTCTGCAGAGATCTCTCAAAAATTTGAGTAAATTAATACTCCGAAGTACTCTAGTCTCAGTAGACTAGCCTGGATTGATTGCAGCTCATCAAAGTAAGCCGCAAGATGGATTCGCAGGAATGTTTTTCGCAGAACTAATTAATTTAACACTCGAAGATGCTAGAGTCTCAGTAGACGGGTCTCGATTGATCATTGCTCATCAGCGAAAGGCCCAACACGCATTGCCTGAAATGTTTTCTCAATGATAATTAAATTCATAAAGTCTTTCTCACCCAGTCCTTCGGCGTGTTACAGCCCTTCCTTCTACTCTCTTTCTCTCCATCCCTCACTCACCCCTRMCCGACGTTCTTTACTACCCGCGAACTCACTTTTCCCACTCRAACTTTGTGGGCACAMAGCCATCCACGAGCCAACATTCCCGATCGCGTCAGTTACCCTCTTGAACAGGAGCAGTGATTACCTTCCTTTCTTGTAGACAGCCAGTGTCACGAGTCTACCTCTGTCGTTAGTGGCTGGCTCGCCTGCTACAGTTACAGCTGATTCTGCCGTTTATCAGTAATAGCTAACCCCGCACTCAATCGGTCCCGGTCAGAATAGCTGACACRGTATCCGGACATGCAGCTCTCATCTGGTACAATCCTYCGTGCACTGCTCACACTATACGCACCGTTCTTCCTTAGTGGCTGCCCCCAGTAGCGGGGATTCCCTGCCCCTCAGCCGATTGCAACAGGTCTGCYGTGTCTCAGTCCGAACCACGATCGCAGCGCCCACTTTCGCCTGGGACCACACTCTCTTCTYTCTTTCTGAGATGGCTATGAAGGCCCACTACCTTCAGCAACGCGCACCATCTGTCCCACCGCTCAAGCGGGCTTCTCGCTCGATTGCCCTTGAGCAGCGCAGCGTTCCGCCGCTCCATGCACGAGACTCCTCTCGAGTTTCCCCTCCTCTCTTTGATGACTTCCATAACCGCTACCTCACCGCAGTGGCGAGAGCGGGGAACACCTTGCACGTCTTTCCCAATCCCCCTCTGTCCACTGTCCCCGCCTGCATACGTACTGTGACGCGGGTTGGGTACACCGTGCATACCCCCCGTGCTCTCTAGTCCCCTTTCCCTTTAAGGTTTTCCCGCACAGCTGAACGTGGTCTTTCCTCCTCCCAGGTCCAATCCGTAGGCCTTCGTAGGCCRAAGGTAAAAGCAGGGCMAGGCCCAACACTGGTACAGTGGAACCCATATACAGCCTCAGCGGGACCTGCAACTGAAACCTGCTGTAAAAARAAAGCCAGATACTTCAGTATGGMAGGTACCCGTACCAAACTTGTCACTTTTACGCTCCAAAGCSAACCACGGTACTGAAAGGCAATTGTATTGTACCAGTTGCCAACACAAAAGCCRAACCGCAGTCCAGCTGTTGCTCCCAACACCCAGTTACCATGCTTGTTCCGTATCTGTCCCGGATCAGAGTGTCGGGCCGAATCAGAAATAGCCACTTGACAATTCTGAGCTGCCAACACCGAACCTGCAAGTGATGTAGTGATGTGCATCATACCGATGCCGGATACCGTAGAAAACTGAAAAGCCAGGGTAGTTCCGAACCTATTCCGGACCTGAAACAACCATCCCCGAGCCTGTAAAAAAAAAGCAGGCGCGTGTACCACTTCGGCGCCGAGCCAATGCCGTATCAATACCGACCCCAAAAAAGATCTGCGGCGTGTAACTCAGCGATGCTAAACCAATGCCGAACACGAGACAACCGTACCATGCCGATGCCGAATCAATACCGAGCCAACACCGAATCTGAGAACATGTCAAATGCCGCACAATACCGTGGTCCCAAAGCTGAAATAAAGCACCATAGTGGCACCAAATGTGGAATAAATAGCCGCAGTGACGGTGCCGAACCTGGGTTAAATATCCGTGATAWCGCCGAACCTGGGATAAACTGCCGCCAACGTCTCTAACCTGGAATAACTGTCGTAGCAGCCCCGGCCCTGAGAATAAATCGCCGTACCTGTCCCAAACCTGAAAATAAGTCACCGTTGTGAAACAACTGTCACCGGCCAGACACCGTAGTACGAAGCCACTCCGTAACAACCCTCATATCCGTACTGAACCAAACACTATAGTCGACCCAAGATAGCACCACCCCATGCTGTCCATGCGATCGTCCTCGGACTGTCACAGTGAAGTTAGTAAATAGGTGGATCGGGAAAGTGGCACGAAAACCTTGATCATCAGATTGGCGAAAAGGGTTGCGATCCAGAGAAGATTGATTAATCGGGGTTCAGAGCCGACGGTGGGAAATCCAAGCAAAATCAGGCCAACCATCGAATAATCATCGGTTCTTGTTCGTTCCATCATTTTTAATCATCCCACCCCTTTTTTTAACTCTATTACCCGAAATAGTAAAATAATCGTAAACCTACCAAAAATAAATTCCGAGAAAGTCTTAATGAAATTGTTGAAATTCTTTGTACCTTTCCTCCTTTATCGTTTTTAATCTTTTCCTTTGTTTGCAATTCCATTGCCGGAAAACATAAAAATAACGGAGTATTTTCTCCAAAACTCAAATGCTGTGAAAAACAAGGAAATTAAGGAATATTACGTTTTTCTCTTCCCTCCTACTGATCTCAATCTCTTCTCCCATCTTTGATTTAGATACCAAAAATGACAAAAATTTGAGGCGCTATTTTGACCTCGATCATACGCTGCAAAGAACGTCGCAGCGGGGTTAGTCCCCGCGATGCCCCCTCGCGGCAGGTCAATTCGGGTCTAACCCTCTGAACGGCCGGAAATGACGGTCTGTTGATGTGCCGAGTGCGACCACTCATCTTGCCATTTTTTAGGGTTACCCGTAAGGTCTAGCGCGCCCAAAATCAAGGGCGCCCCGAGGTCCCCTAATCTCCGCTGCATGGTCTAACCAGAGTACCGTCAAAACTCAGACTCGTGTTCGCGCCTAAGTCCCAAAACCGTAGATTTCAGGCGGCGCACCGCTTGCGGCCGCCTGACACCGGTAAACGAAGGGGTCGCCTAAGCCGCAAGAGGCGTTCCGGTGGAATCCCGGTGGGTGGACCTAATGGATGCGGAAGCAAGGTTAGAGGAAGCGCGGGAATTTCCTAGGGATAGACAGGGGTATCGACCACTTAGGAGGGAGGAAGAAGAGTGTCAGGACAGGAGGGACTTAAGAGAAGGGAGGTCAGCAGAAGGCGGCGGCAGGCCGCGGAGATGGGTCGAAAGGGTCCCGGAGGCCGTCACCGGTGAGAGGCAGGCCTTAGTGGGGCTAAGAACTGGCGCGGAAATGCGAATGCCTGCGCGGGAAGGGGCGATCGAGGGCTCGAGGGGCCTTCCTATAGAGTCTCAGTGGATGGATTTACTGGACGCAAGAATGGGAGAAACTCTAGAATTTCCAAGAGATAGGGTGGGGTACCGGCCACCCAGGAGAGAAGAGGAGGGGGGACCGAGTAGAAGGGGCCTTAGAGACGAGAGGCCGACGGAGGCTGGTAGTAGGCCACGGAGATGGGCCGAAAGAGAAGCGGATGCTGCATGGGCTCCCGGCGAGATGACGAGCAGGAGTCAGGGGGTGGAGGCCTGGAGGAGCTTTAGGGGGCAGGGCCACGCTCGATGGGAGACGGATTGGCCGGATGGGCGGGGCCGCTACGAGGAGGACCCCTGGGAACCCTGGGGCCGGGTGGAGGAGCCGGATCCCTCGTGGTACAAGCCGTACGATCCGACAATCAATGGGGCGATGAAAGGTCCCTATTTTCGCCGATACGACGACCGACGAGTCCCCTACTACGACGTCAACCTGGGTCTGGAGGCACTTTTCTTCGACGGACGGGATGTGACTGGGTTCGTGGAGAAGTGGGAGAGTTATGCTTACCGTAAAAGATTCTCTGAAAGAGAGTGGATCGACTCTTTTATCCAGCACGAGGACCCCGAGTTAGACCCCGCGATTCGGGCTATCTACCCCTCAGACGGACGGTGGAGGACCTTCAGGGCGAGCCTATTGCAGACTTTCGCCTGTGATGACTTGATCCCGACCGTGGAGGGCTTGCGACGAATTACAAGGGGGGAACGGGAGAGCTTGGTAGCCTTCACCCGTAGGTTCAAGCGCCTGTCTCAAGCCCTAGTGGATAGGGGGATGTTGTCTGAAGTAGATAGGTGCGTGATGTTCATGCTGCACCTACCCGAGGAAAAGAGGAAAGAGGTCCTTGAGAAGGCCCCGAGGGATTTCTGCCAATTTCGAAAAAGTTGCCGAGGTGGTTTTCTTAGGTGGAGGGGTAGATGTGAGGGAGTACATGAAAGAGACCTTGGACATGGCACTCCGCAACATGCAAGGCACACGGAACAATGGTCCAAGGGGGAGCGATAGACCGCCCCCGGGTCCACCTGGTCCCCGGTGGGGAGAACGGCCGACCAGATGGAGAAACGAATCAAGTGGCTAAGGAGGTTGGAGGAACGACCGGGAGATAGGGGGGAATCGTGGTTCCGATTGGGGGAGTTCCCATTGGAAGGACGCTAGAGATGAAAGGTGGGGAGACGACCCTCAAGCAAGGGCTTCTGGGCCACGACCGGAGGTTAGGACGCCACCGCCGCCGGCACCACCACCCCCGGCTTCGCCTGCGCCTATAGCGACGGCCACACAAGGGGGTCCGCGCCCCAACAACCCCCAAGCTCGAAGCGGGTGTGTCTACTGCAACGAAGAAAATCACATCAAAAGGGACTGCCCTTATCTCACGGAGGCCTTAAGGTTGGGGGTGGTCAAGCTGAATGAGAACAAGTGGGTCGTGTGGGGAGATAGCGGAGAGGCGGTCTCCTTTTACCCATCAATGAAGGTGAACTTGGACAAGAGGAATGCCCTCCAGGAGGCTAGGTTGGGGAAGAGACCGGAAATTGGGAGCTCCTCCAACACAGCTCATATCCAAATGACGGAGTCACCGGGGGGGGTGTCCATTAGGGAACCCCAGGTGTCAAGCATTAAGTTCATAGAAACCCAGCCCGAGGAAGAGAGGCCTTGCCTAAGGGTGAGAACGCAGGTTAGGACCGAGACATCCGAGAGCCAAGCGAGCGTGACGGAAGGTACGGAAGTAAGGAGCGGCGAAAATGACCAACCGATGGCCGATGCAAAAGCGGTGGAGGAAAAGAAGGAAGAGCCCACCTCACCCAAATCGCCAAAAAAGAGGGGGCCCAAAAAGTTTGAAATGAAGTGCACTTTGGATGAGATAGACACGGTAGCCCCCCTTAGGAGGACCCTGATGCAGCCTATGCAGTGCACACTTTTGGAATATCTAGCCGCCAACAAAAAGTGCCAGGGAAGAACTTCTAAGCATCACGAGGAAGGTAAGAGTTCCGCTCGCAGGGGGGCCCACGGTGCCGGTGGAGGGTTCAACCAAGGAAGAAGTACGGGCCTCCCGCATTACCATGGAGGAGCTACCTGCCAACTTCTTCTCGGGAGAAGAGGCCAAGAAATTCTATGTGTTAGGTAGCGGCCAGCTCCAGGCGGTGGTAAGTGGGAAGAAAATGAGGGCTCTAGTGGACAATGGGTCCGAACCTACGGTTTGTAGGTATTCCATTGCGCGGGAGCTGGGTTTGGAAATAGATCGAGGGGTATCGATATCAATGGTAGTGGCTGATAACAAGCTGCAACCGGCGGAAGGGGTGTGTCATAGCCCCATGATTGAAGTCGCGGGCGTGGAGGCCACGGTCCCGATCTTTTCAGTAAAAGAGTGCTCCTCCGAATTGATCCTCGGAAGGACTTGGCTGAGCGCAGTACACCCGACCACGGTTGATTTGTCGGATGGAAGTCAGACCCTCTCGATCCAAAGTCCTGATGGAATCCGCGTGGTCCTGAAGACCGTAGATGCGCAAGACGAACGCAACCGGACCAGCATTGCTAGACGCAAGGGGGGCCAGTCGAGGGTGTGCCGAGTTCGTCTGGAGGAGGTACTCTTGGCGGAAAGGGGACCCAAGGGGGACCAATAGGAGGTCGAGGACGTAGGGGATAGGAAGCTACAATATCGGAGGAGGAGCTCGCTAATATCATTAGGAAAAGGAAAGAGACCGAAGGGCAAAGGATAACGGCCGATAGGTTGGCCAAGATGGATATAGGGGATGGGAATCTCACGGAGAAAGAAAAAGAGTTCATAGCTATGACCTTGAGGGGCTGCGATAAGGCCATTGCCTTTGATGACTCGGAGAGAGGGAGAATCGACCCGAGGTATGCTAAGCCAGCCCGGATCCACACGGTCCCGCACGTGCCCTGGAAGGATAGGCCTCAGTGGAAGTACGCTCAAAAGGAGAAAGAGGAGATAGTGGCCTTCATCAAGGAAAAGATCAAGACGTTCGTCGCGGAACCTTGCGAGAGTGCCTACTCCAATAAGTGGTTCTTTTTGAGGAAGGGAGGTAGCAACAAACTAAGATGGATCCAAAACCTCCAGAGGACCAATGCGGTCACCATAAGAGACGTGGGGTCTATACCTGAGGCCGACTTGCTAGCGGAAGGATCGACAGGTCGCTCAATATATTCTATCTGCGATCTCTTCTCAGGGTATGACGAAATTCCCTTAGATTACCGGGACAGGCACATGACCGCCATGCATACGCCCTTAGGGCTCGTTCAAATGATGGTGGTGCCAATGGGTTGGACGAATGGGGTAGCGGTGTTCCAAAGGGCCATGATCGCGGTCCTCAAGGAGTTCATACCGGAGAAGGTGGAGGTCTTCCTAATTGACTTCCCGATAAAAGGGCCGGTCGAACGGGATGAGACGGAAGTCTTTCCAGGGGTGAAAAAGTTCGTGGCCGACCACATGAGTGATGTCAGAAACGTCCTTGAGAAGTTAGATGATGCCAACCTCACGGTGAGCGGAACTAAGAGTCGTTGGGGCGTGTCCTCCATCAAGATATCGGGGTTCATTTGCGATAAAGATGGGCGAAGGCCCGACCCCGGAAAATTAGTGAAATTGATGACCTGGCTGTTACCGCTCAAATCCATAACGGAAGTACGGCAGTTTTTGGGGGTTGTGGGCTACTGGAGAATCTTCATAAAATCCTATGGAGAGAAAGCGGAAGCCCATAGAAGACTCCTCAGGAAATCAGAAGGATGGGTTTGGGAGGAAGCACAGGAAGCGGCCATGGAAGTTTTGAAGGGGGAATTCTGCGAAGGTGGAGAGGTCCTAGGAGTTTCGTTCTTCGAAGACGAGGAGAGTCGCCCGTTCATAGTGTCCACAGACGTTGGACCTCATTCGATGGGAGGCCTCCTGTCACAAAAGGACGGAGAGGGGAAAGAGAGACCGTTGCGATTCGAGAGCCGGACCTTGAACCCCGCCGAGAGAAATTATAGTCAATTCAGAAAGGAGGTGCTAGGGGTGCTACATTGCCTAAAGGCTTTTCGCCATTATCTATACGGACGACGATTTCTCCTAAGGGTGGACCCGACAACAGTGGCCTCGGTTCTCCAAAAAGATTTCTCGCTGACCGATCCGACCATCGCACGCTGGATGATTCATATTAGGCTTTACGACTATAGAGTCGAGAGGATATCAGGGACCAAGAACCAGGTCGCGGACGGATTATCCTGGCTTCCCATTCGTGAGGAGGACCTACCTAGGCTTAAGGAGGAAGAAGTGACAATGGCCAAAGAGGAGATGATGAAAGTCGCCGCCAATAGGGCACAGATAGCACAGAACAGCCGAGGGGAAGAAGGGGAGCCAAGGATTTTTCTCGCTAATCTCTACGACGGGAAGTACCGAAACATAGGGCTGTACTTAGCTGGTAGGGAAGCTGGGACCGAAAGAAACCGGCAAGAAGCGCTGGGGTATTGCCTGCGAGGGGGCCATCTCTTCAAGAGGCCCACCAAGTTTGCGATACCCATGAGGGTACTGTGCGACCCAGAGGAAAGAAAGGCGGTTATAGAGGAACTCCACGACGGGGTCGTTGGGGGTCATAGGGGGGTGAAGGGTACTTTCGATAAGGTCCGTAGGCTTTATTGGTGGGACGGACAATACACGGAAGTGGAAAAGTATTGCTCTACGTGTGAAGCCTGCCAGAAGAGGGCGACGGTTCGGTACAAAGAGCCCTTAGTCCCGTCGCTCCCCACGGTTCCGGGTGAGAAGATCCATGTAGATTTAGTGACCATGCCAAAAGGGGTCGGCGGACTTCGGTATATAATCAATGCCCGCGATGACCTCACCGGATTCGTAGAAGCGAAGGCCATCAAGAAGAAGACGGCGGAGGAGGTAAGTGATTTTCTCCTTGAGTACATCGCCTGGTACGGATGTGTCGGGAAAATAGTCATGGATAGGGGGGCGAAATTCTTGAGCCAAAAGGTCAAAGTGTTGTTGGAAAAGGCAGGGATCAGGGCGGCCTATACGACTGCCTATCACCCCCAAAGCAATGCACCGGTAGAGAGGGGTCATCAGACGCTTGTGGACGCTCTGGCAAAATGGTGCAAGGGCCGCGCGGAACAGTGGCCGAGGTATCTGCGGTACGCAGTTTGGGCTGATAATATCACGGTCAAGTCCAGTACGGGATACCCTCCTTACACCCTTTGGTTCGGTAGGCATTGCCCCCTACCTATCGAGTTCCACATAGACACTTGGACGAGTGTCTCATGGAAAACCCACATGTCTAGGGATGAACTGTTGGAGGCACGGATACAGCAAATAGGCGAGAACTTGGAAACCGGGGTGACCGCGGCCAGTGAGAACGTCGAGAGAGAGAGGGTGAAAGGTAAAGATAGGTGGGACAGAAATCTGCGGGTCCGAAAGGCACCAATAGGGGTTAACGACCTAGTGCTGATGTACGATTCGTCACTGGAAAAGACCTGGAGCCGGAAATTGGCGAACCGATGGATGGGGCCGTATAAGGTCCTAAAGAGATTGGATGGGGGGGCTTACATGCTCGCGGAATTGGATGGGAGTAGGCTACGGGACCCTATAGCGGGGGCTCGTCTCAAGATCTTCCGATCGAGAGGGACCTTTGGGGAAGAGTCGGGGCTGAAGGGAAAAGAAGCTATTGACACAGAGGTGAGCGTAACCCACGAAAAAGGGGAGACCTCCAAACAAGGAGCCTCTTCTCGACCCCCTAAGAAAGGATATAAGGTTCGGAAAACTACCCTACCAAAGACCCCTAGGAAAAAGAAACGACCGAGGGAGGATGACGGGGATACTGGCCGATTGAGGAAACGTCGGTTGAACGAAAGGAGGAATGCGTCAAGAAAGGCTCTGAGACTCAAACGTGAGAGAGAGGAGAGGAAACGAAAGAGGGAAAGTCGCGAGAAGAGGGTGAGGAGACGGAGACGGGCGTGAAAAGGGGAAGGATAATGGTGTACCATAGTTAGGGAGACAAGGGCCAGGAAAAGGGATATCTCGAAGGAAAATTTGTACTCTAATATACCCTAGTTAGGGGAATGGGTGTCGAAGGGGGCGATGAGTCGTAATCCCAAGAAGGGTGTTGTACCATAGGCCGAGGTCATAGGGTAGGGAAGTGCCGTGGGTTGGGGATGGAACCTTGGCGGTGGGATTAAGCCTGGTGAAAAGAAAGAGGGGCAAAGTGACTTAGCCGGAAAATGGGGGGGGGGGGAACGAACCATGGAAAATAGGGGAAACATTTCTAGGGCAAGCGTTGGGTATGGGGGCCAAGGTTAAAAGAATAGTGTCGTGAGGGAGGCTCGCCGGGGACGGCGAGAAATGGGGTGTGGGCTGGTTGTCGGGCGGCTGCCTACCAGCCGGGTGCACCCCTTGCTGAAAATAAACTGGTTTGGAGTTTTTTTTTTTTTTTTTTTTTTTTTTTTTTTTACAAAAGTGTGTGTCTGAAGGCTGTGGGGGAGGGATTGGGTCTTTCGTTGGGTAGTACTAACCTTGGGACAGGTTGCGGAGAAGGTCAGCCAGGTGGTCGCAAGCGGGGCTACGCGGACGGCAAAAAAATAGGAGTTCTGGAGGCCATGCTAAGGAAGCAAGGAAATCCGCGAGGCTTTGGGCCAAGCCTTGAAGAGACTGCATCCGAAAATTCTTGGTATGAACAGCGAAGGGGTGGGGCCCTAATGCCTCAATCGGCAGAGAAATCAGTGAACTTTGGACCAAGCCGCGGGAGGCGGCGAAGAGACTGCATCCAAGGGTTCTCGGTACAGCCGACGAAAAGGTGGGGCCCGACTGCCGCAATCGGCCCACGCCGAGAAGTTAGTCGCCAAGCTCTGGTCCCGAATAAAGGGGGAACGCGGATCCCTGGGCTATGACGGGGCTACTATTTCCGCACCTCGCAAGGACCCGCCTCGGTACTATAAGAAGATACGGCCCCACAAGACCGTGTGGAAAAAAATATGAAGTCGAAGAGGCAACGGGGGGGGTGCGACCCGCAGGAGCCCTGGGACCGCTCATCAAATCGCAGCTATTCAGCAGGAGGTCGGAGGGGCCGCGACTGGAGGGGACAGGAGAATGAGGTCGTTTGACAAACAACTAAAAATGGGCGCGCAGCCCGCGGTTCTTGGTAACTGTCAAAGGGAGAGAACTACGGGAAAAGGGCGATCTTTTTTTGAAGACTGCCTCGACATCACCCCTCGTAAAGACCCCGCCTAGCTGATGAAGGGGGCCGGACTACCAACCGTTGCAAAGAGTGAAAGAAGGGAATTAAGAAAAAGAAAAATGTAACTCACGAAAGGGCGGGAGCTGCTCGACGAACGCAACGAGTCAAGAGAGAAGAGGCGATCGCCGTGGTGCGAGGGATCAACAGAGAATCGGAGCCGAAGGAGTCTTGGCCTAAGAGCCGCGGCGGGAAAAACGGTTGAAGACGAGTGCGCCCAGCCCTTGGAGGGGACGAAGAGGGTACACAAGAGACGGTTGAGAAGTGATCCTAGAGGCGTAAGGGGGGGAATGTGATTTGAAGGAAAGATGACAGTGACCCGAGCGATGGGCGGGATTGGACGAGGAAGGAGAAGCAAGGATCAGGGGGGAAATGAAGCGTGGTCGGCAGGAAGACGAAAATTTCGCGAAAATTCAAAAATCTCCCGCCCTTGCCGAAGCAATCGTGAAGCAAGCAGCGAGAGGTGGCCGGACGGACATTATGTAAAGAGAGAGAGTATGAGAACGGGGGCCGGCACGTCTACGCACGGGGTTTTGATGCTCTTGGCCGCTCCGCGCGCACTGGCGTTCGGGTCGCTAGGCGGCTTGAGGTTGCGCCTGTGTAGTAGCTTGGGAGGTCGGGAATCGGTGCACGTACAGAGACGCACGGAACGCCCGGTGGTTCACGGTAGCGCACGACGGCGGGTGCGGGGAGAAAGGTAGAGAGGGAGAGAAGGGGGGACGGCGCTCGAGAGCATGCGACCGCGGCTGCTTTCTGCCAGCGCACTAGAGAGAGAGAGAGAGGGGAAGGGAGGGGGCGTTCGGGATCTGATCGTTGAGAGCACGAGGAGGGGGAGAGGGAGAGCGCACCGTCTCTGCGTCCGTTGTCGACGATTGACCGGAGAAGGGAGGAGAGAATGTGGGCAAGGAGACGAGATACAGGACGAGGAGGGCACGAGAGATACGCACCGGCAGAGGAAGTGCCGAGGACAACCGATTGTAAAGGAGCGATCGGCACGCAAGCTGAGGAAAAGCTCGCAGACTCAGTCGGAGCAACGAGGGGAATGCCGATTGCACGCGCAAACGGAGCCCGGGAGGACGCAACGCACGAAACAAGCTGGCTCTCAGGAGCGTACGGGCAGAGTTCAGACGGCAACAGCGCACGAGTCTCGCGGGCGTGCTCCAGCGCGGTCTGAAGGCGATAGCGCGGGGGCGAGTGCTAGCCCACCTAGACTGAGACCCAATCGTACGAACGGAGAAAGCGGGTGGGTCGAAGCTGGTTGACCGGAGCGAGTTCGCAGGCGCTGCCGGGGCTGCGACGACGGGTACTGACGAAGCGAAACCCGCTACAACGTAAGGGGAGCGTCAGCGGTGTGAAAAGGGGAAGGGAAGCTAGAGAGGGCGTTTTCGCCACCCGGTCACGACCTGTCGGTCCGGTCGAGGGGCGGCGCATCGGGCGATAAAGAGGCCGGTCTCGGCGTGGACGCCGGTGTGACGCGAGGACCTACGACACACCCATCATGGCCGCCTAGCTAAGGGTAGGAAGAGAGAGGCTCGTGGAGAGAGAGTTCGTTGGCAGCAAGTGATTGGCGTTGAGGTGCGCGGCGCAGAGAGAGAAAGAGAGAGAGAGAGGGAGGGAGAGAGAGAGAGAAGTAGTCACTCGGCTCGCTCGATTACTTGGCCGGTTCTACGCTCGACCGACGGTCGTCTGCTCACAGTCGGTGCCTGGGTACTTGAGTCGAGCTACCTTCTCTTACGGTCGTTGGAGCCACTTGATGCTCGAGTCGAACTTCCTTTTCTCACTATTGTAAGTGCCACTTGGCGCATGAGTTTGCTTTTGGGTACATGGGTAGAGCTTCTTTTTCCTACGGTTGTTAGTGCCACTTGGTGTATGAAACTGCGTTCGGATGCCTGAGTCGAGCTACCTCTTCTTACGGTTGCAGTGCCACTTGGTATATGAGTCTGCGTTCTGATACCTGAGTCGAGATACTTTTTCTTACGGCTGCAGTGCCACTTGGGTATGTGAGTCCGCGCTCTGCTACCTTTTCTCACTGTAGTAAGTGCCACTTGGTGCATGAGTTTGCGTTTGGGTGCCCGGGTAGAGCTTCTTTTTCCTACGGTTGTTAGCGCCACTTGGTGTATGAAACTGCGTTAGGATGCCGGAGTCGAGCTACTTCTTCTTACGGTTGCAGTGCCACTTGGTATATGAGTCTCCATTCTGATACTTGAGTCGAGCTATTTTTTTTATGGCTGCAGTGCCACTTGGTATGTGAGTCCGTGCTCTGCTACTTTTTCTTACGGTTGTCGGTGCCACTTGGTACATGAGTCTGCGTTCTGATACCTGAGTCGAACTGCTTTTTCCTACGATTGTTGGTGCCGCTTAGTATGCGAGTCTGTGTTCTGCGTCGGTTGTTGGTACCACGTGGTAAACGAGTGTGTGTTCTAATACCTGAGTCGCACTACTTTTTGGAACCGCCCGGTATGAGAGTTCGTGTCTAGATGCCTGCTCCGTGCTAATCCTTTCATGATTGCTTCTTTCCACTCGGTACATGAGTCCGCATTCTGACGCCTGGGTGCGTGCTTTGTACATATCGTGGAGTTTTGAACGATCGGTAGCACCACCTGGCGCTGTTTGCTGGAAATCCGCTCTAGGGGCCTCGGAGCTTGCAAGTAACCTCCGGCTGTTCGTTTCGTGGTTCGAGTTCTATCCCGTTCCTCTCGGTCTAGCGGAGGGCAGCCTAGGCCTCATCAACACTTAAGGCGGGGAAGGGCTCGAGAAGACCCGACAGATTGCCGCCTAGCTCGGAGACAGGACCTACAGTTGGTACTGCAGGAGGGGGGCTCTGTCGAGGAAAGGGTACACTCGGCCCTACGGGTCGCCGGTCCGGCCGCCGCAAGCCAGGGTCGGGGGAGGACCAGCCCACAGCGGTCTGCATCGGTTCCTCCCGTGTGAACCATCTATCCTCCTTTGGATCAGTGTGATGTCTGAACCGAACTCGGTACTGCAGCTTCGATTTTCGAGGACGTCCTCTGCTTGTCGGTCTTGGAACTGGCATTTCCTTGTGGTCAATGATGTCGTCGATGTCGACCTCTCCATCCATGGTTGGGGGCAGCATAGAGCGACGAGAGGGAAACTGGTCAGTTTCTTTAAAAGGTGCAAGCTTGGAGGCATGGAAAACAGGGTAAGTGCGTAGGTGACCAGGGATGCGAATAACATAAGTGTCATCCGGTTCATCCCGAACAACATCTGGAACCTCCCATGGTCCAAAGTACTGTGGGATGAGCTTGGGGGAGATCCCGTGCTCTTGTCCCAGTTCTGAGGACTTAACCCAGACTCTTTCTCCTATCGGAATGTAGATGGGCGACGGTGTTTGTTCTCTGACTCTATCATCGCCGCCTGTGCTTTATGCATCTGCTCAACAGCCTGCTGCATCAGGCGCTCATACCAATAAGCAAATTCTAGGGTCCCT